AGGAGAGAGAGAGAGGAGAGAGAGAGAGGAGAGAGAGAGAGGAGAGAGAGAGGAGAGAGAGAGAGAGAGAGAAAGAGAGAGAGAGAGAGAGAGAGAGAGAGGAAAAGAGATAAGGGTACGGAAGGAAATATCGCGCGCAGCCCGTGACTCTTTTTAAGGTGATCCGCCATTCGCCTGCTATCAATCGAAGAAACTACCGATTGGAGCAGTCGGCCGCGAGATTTCTCCTCCAGTGATAGCATTCGACATAGCATTTTAACTTAAGTTAAAAATCCACTACCGCCTAGACAGAAAGCTTCGGAATCACAATATTCTATTGCTGCAATGTAACCAATAAACACTTGCATGAGAGAATCGCAAAATCAATATGCCCTTTGTTGTCTTTTCAATTTTAGTTAACTCACATTTTTACATGCATGTGCAGAAAAATCTAAATAGAAGGTAGGATGCGTATGAAGGACCAACAAATTATTCGAAAATGGATATTTTTATCGGAAGTTAAGCTTACCTCAAACGATTGGATGAACATCCTCAAACATATGTTGCTTTGTAGCCTGCAAATTAATTTCTTATATTTCGTGGAATCCCTTATAATTGGTTTCTATGCAACCCTCATAACACTCAAGATTGGCGGGATAGTTTAGTCAGGCGTTCTCACTTGACATGCAACATTGAACTACTTCCCTTCTCTCCATTAGAGACTGACAGAAAGGCACTGTGCTGATTGTTCTCGACTATGAGACAAGCAAGGCGAGGCCAAGAATATGTGCTTAACAAAATGAAGTGATATGAGCGTCTGTGAAGTACACTTAGCGTGATCAGTTCGGAGAGGTCGCTTCAAATTATTACGCCCAGATACAGTCGACTCCGGTTGTAGTAAACTTCTGATGGCCAACATTTGTTCACTATATCCGATGTCAAAATGAAATAGAATTTCTGTTGAAACATCGTATCACTCTCCGAAGGCCCTTTTACTCGCCTAATAACATTCGAGATCCTTTCGGTAACAGGATGGTGCAAGCGGCTAATGAAACTGGTCGCTTTTCCGCGCGATGCGGGGGGACGGGGGTCCCCAGACTGCGGGGTTGTATCAGTCGCACGCTTCCTGTAGCGACAACGCGCCTTGACCCACGGAATATAACATCAAGATTGAAACTGAAGCAAGCAATCACGCGTCGCCGCCCCCAGTTGTAGCCCACGCAGGGCACGGCCTTTGTTTCCGCATAGAAACTGAGTGGCATAAGACCATCATCCTCATCCCAGGTCCACTACTTGCATCTCAGGAGAGACTTCTACGATGATCTTCGGCTGATATTTTTTCAAGCTGCCCGGTGTTTGAATTTGCGGCACTGAGGCGATATATTATTTTCCAGGTCGTATTTCTTACGTTCATACCTAGACGAGGTTCAGGTTCGCTATAACCGAATTTTCTTACGCTTAGGGATCGCCCACAAATTACGTAACGCCGAAGAGCGGGGGGGGGGGGTTGAGGCGTTACCCTGCGTCATTTAGGGCAGAGGACGTTACTTTAGTGTTACGTAACATTGATTTATTTTTAATTTTCGACATCCGATGAACTAATTATTTTTTACTTTCCCGTATACGAACGTATATACGAAGTACAGGTAGTTGTATAACGCGATTTCGGCGGAAATATACTTGTTATACCGGTTTTTTTTTATGTCCGCACGTGAACTAGCACATAAACCACGCGCAGAAATTTATCAAAATTGAAGAAACCCGTGTCGATCTGGCTGCTGTT